TGTGGGGGATCATCCTAATAGACTACTGGGGCTCCATACGAACATAATATCTAACCTTTTGGGGGACTTTCACCCTGAGGAAGATACGCTCCCTAATAAAAATTCGGTACTCAAGTTTGGAGACTAATAAAGTCACTCAGACATTTATGAACTCAATGAGAAACCCTTTACGACCTCAACTTGGAACGTAAACCCTTTGCCACTCGACCGTTGTACACTTACATTTAATTTCAAAAGGATCATGGAGTTCCATTAAATACAATCATTGCGACCATTTGTGCCAACCATATTCAAAAATCCTAATTTGAGTCCAAATCCAAGTCAATATTCAAAACACCTAATCATATATTTAAAAACATGCTAATTAATCATAAATAACATATGAAATAATTTAGAAATAAGTTGGAAAAACAAAGCATGTTCTGGAATTGAGAAACCCTACCAATCTCGATATTTTGATTTGAAATAGCAAAAAATGAAAGTGTTATTTTTTGATGAAATTCAACCCATATAATCCATTTAACTAATTATAAACAAATATAATTTTTTTTTGGCAAAAAAACCCCAAATGTTGGGTAAAATTGGTCCTAGAGGCCAAAATAGTCATTTTACTCCTTATTTTGATATGGTTGTCAGATCGACTTGAAATTTTACCAGACCTCCACACGGACGTTATGAAAATTTTGGCATTAACTAGATGTTGATTGGACACTGGAAACACCCTCATATGCTGTCGGGGTCCACTGGTGTACCTCCGCCACTTCATCTTCTTCCTTTGGCCATTTTGACCAAAACCCTAGGTTCTCCGTTGCAGCTCCAACTACCCCACTTCTCTCCTATGTTTCTCACTCCACAATATACCATTTGCTCTATTTTCATAAGTCAAACACTCATCACATATCTTCTTTAGATCCCCATAGGTTTCTAGCTTGGAATTAAGCTTAAACCCCTCCAAAAACTAGGTCAAAGTCCAAGAAAAATAAGGTTTTTAACACATGGCCAGACCTACAACTTCCCTTTTCACCCCACAAATGACCTCTAAAACCATTTTTGAAGCCATCAATGGATTCCTAAGATCTATTTTAGCTAGGTATAGCCATTCTTCGAAGCTCAAACATCACAATCATGGAGNCTCCCTACTATCAATTCATAGTTCGAAGCCCCTAATCGCACATGTACACTTGCTTATGTCCTAATTATTGCTCGTGAAACACCAAGTTGTTACAGTATACCAACCTTAAAAGAAATTTTGTCCTCAAAATTTAACTCCATTTCACAATTATATCCTATCATGACATATTAATTTTACATAACTAGTTCACGAAAATAAAATACCTACCTCGTACCACTAAGTATCTCGATTTTATCTTTAGCATAACTACACACTCATTGAATCATGTTCACTTGGTTTCCACTCGATTGTTCCACTACGCTATTGTTGCACAACTCTAATAAAATACTCATCATATTGGTGCAACCCCAATCACAAAAACTTATGTACAAATCATCCTTGAAAGTCATCTCCAATAAAATCAAAGTTAATCCACAAACAAATAGATAAATTACCATAGGTAAAACCTTTGATATGATAAATCTTATGTTCGTCAAGAACCAATGCCACCAATACCCACAAGTTGTTATTCTAAATAACTAAACCTAGGACAATCTACAAAATCTCAAATATATGCTCTGATACCAAACTGTAAAATCCCGACCCATTTCTAGAATAACATTCAGAGCGCTAATCGCCTCCATAGTTATTAAATAACACAATCTCCAAATAATGAATAAACTCTAATACCAAATTCATATACATTTCAAACATCTACACCTAGTCAATTATAATTTTCACATATCATAAATAATACATTATTTAGTTATAAACCCTTANAGATCAAAAACCTCCATGGCCAAAGCTTCACCTCACCTCCAAATCACCACAGGCTACAGCCAGCCACCAAACCACCTCCAAACTAATCCTTGAACCNCATGGAGATCAAAAACCTCCATGGCCAAAGCTTCACCTCACCTCCAAATCACCACAGGCTATAGCCAGCCACCAAACCACCTCCTAACTAATCCTTGAACCCCCCTTCATCAACTCAACCATATAGATTAATTAAGCTAAAATAAAAGAATACATGAACCCATTTCATGAAAATTAAAAACCCAGAACTTTAAAACTCAAATTCGGGCATAACCACTTACCTAAATCAAAAACTAACACCACCAATGAATTCATACATCCTAATTAGGCTAGAAGTATACCTCTTGGTTTTCAAAGTTGTCTCTACAAGAATCTGAAATTTGAAAGTAAGTTTTCTCTCTCTAACTTCTCTTTCTTCTTTTCTTCTGTCTCTATCGTTTCTCTCATCTCCAAACCTACCAACGACGAGTTCAGGTCTTCTCCAACCAGCTGGGTGGAAGTCATGCATCAAGGGAAGCTCCAGTCGACACCTTGCAAGGCTAGAAGAATGGAGATGCTTCCAAGGGCACTTTGATATTTTTTTCCCCTTTTTGCCCAAGATGGCGACAGTTATATGACAAGCTTTGTGAGCCTGAAATATATTGTCATTGATAAGGACTAATAGTACCGAAGACACATTCGGCTAATGCATATGATCCACAAAATTCAAACAACCATGAAGAGATCATAGCAAGACTTTAAAGTGAAAATGATCAGATGTAACGTCGACTTTATCATTTTCATGTAATCGAGTATGCAGAAATTGAGCATTTCAATCTTGACTATGTCAAGATTAAAATTTTGGAGGATCTGTTACTTACTTTTGATTATGAAATTTCTGATTATTCCGATTTAAGTGATGATGCATTTGATACTTTTATTCCATCAAATTTATGTGTACTAGGTAACCCTTTATGTTGTTTTGAACAACATTCACATTATTGGCAAACTGTATTTTGCACAGTCTCACGTAATAACTTTGTTTTGTTTAATGTATGTGCATGGTTTATACACTTTTGTGGGTCAAATTCTATTGTTCGATGAACTTATGCAATGATTAGGAATAGTCAATTTGTCACAAAATTCATTTACACACACTACAACAAAAATTGTTTGTTGCGACAATTTTTTTCGTCGCTAAATTAAAAAAAATCATCGCCAATTATTTTCTGCGATGTTTTTTTTTCATCGCGTGTTCGTCGCAATAGCCTCGTTGCAGAAAGTATTTTGCAATACAAATTTATTTTCATTGCAANTCGATGAACTTATGCAATGATTAGGAATAGTCAATTTGTCACAAAATTCATTTACACACACTACAACAAAAATTGTTTGTTGCGACAATTTTTTTCGTCGCTAAATTAAAAAAAATCATCGCCAATTATTTTCTGCGATGTTTTTTTTTCATCGCGTGTTCGTTGCAATAGCCTCGTTGCAGAAAGTATTTTGCGATACAAATTTATTTTCATTGCAAAAAAAAAATTTTCGACGGAAAAGACGTCGCTAAAATTTCAGTAAACGTAGCTAAAATATATTTCACCAGCGTAAAAAAATTAAAAATTAAAAATTAAAAATTTAATTAATTTTTCACGAGGTAAAAAAATTGTAGCAAATAATTTTTTACATAAATAAAAATGTAAAAAATAATAATTTAATTAATTTTTCACGACCTAAACAAAGCGTCCCAAATAAATATTTTCATAAATAAAAAATGTAAAAAATATTAATTTAATTGATTTTTCACAACATAAAAAAATCGTCGCTAATATTTTTTTACATAAATAAAAATTAAAAAAAATAATTTAATTAATTTTTTGCGACGTAAACAAATAGTTGCAAATAATTTTTTTAATAATTAAAAAACATAAATTTAATTAATTTTTTGCGACGTAAAAAAGTCGTTGCTAATAAGTTTTTACATAAATAAAAATGTAAAAAAAATAATAATTTAATTAATTTTTAGTGACATAAAAAAATGTCCCAAATAATGTTTTACATAAAAAAAAATGTAAAAAATATTTGAATAAATACATTTGTGATGTATAAAAATTGTCGCAAAAAATATTGTTCATACAATTTTTTGTGACGATTTTAAATTCGTCGCAAAAAAATTNAAATAGTTGCAAATAATTTTTTTAATAATTAAAAAACATAAATTTAATTAATTTTTCGCGACGTAAAAAAGTCGTTGCTAATAAGTTTTTACATAAATAAAAATGTAAAAAAATAATAATTTAATTAATTTTTAGTGACATAAAAAAAATGTCCCAAATAATGTTTTACATAAAAAAAATGTAAAAAATATTTGAATAAATACATTTGTGATGTATAAAAATTGTCGCAAAAAATATTGTTCCTACAATTTTTTGTGACGATTTTAAATTCGTCGCAAAAAAAATCAGAAAAAATGATATTTCAATAAAATTTTTGTCATGTACACCAATAATACCTGTGTTCAATAAAAAACTAACACAATTAATACATTTCACATCTTTTGAATTCAACATACATTTCCTTTTTTTTTTTTTTTGAAAAATGAAAAATTTTATTGATATAAACCAAAATTACATGAATCAAAGTAATCAAGGATTTAACAAAACAGAAAAGCCACAATTGGCTTTAATCCTTCAAAAATAAAATTTCAACAAAATTCTTCTTCATATGTCAAAAGTGTCCAGCAACATATGCAGCAATCTGTATCAGTCACCAATTCAAAGCTCCAATCATCTCCCATCACCATAGCACAACATCACCATAGCTCTTCAGCACCATAGTTCAACAACTCATCAACGTAAAATAGCAATGCAACACAGCAGGAGCATTGCAACACAACATACAACACCTCTTAGCAGCAACTAAGCACTTTACCTCCTCCCAAGAGTCTTCGTCAGCACAGTAGTACAGTCAGTACAAACAGTACATTAGAAACTGCTACAGCTTAAGAAAATTAACCACCATCATCAAATACCAAGCCAGTCTTGGTTCCTCCTTTCAAGACAAATTTCTTCCTTAATGTTGGCAATAAGGATTGATCCTATTGTAATAACAACCTTCCAACCACTGGTAACACCCCAGAAGCAGAAAAATCAGAGCTGCATCTGGACTTTACAACATAAGAGGCAAGAAAATTAGCAATCATATTAGCTTCTCTGTAAATGTGTTTTATCCTTACATTCAAACTACCCATGATAACCAAAATTAGNAGGCAAGAAAATTAGCAATCATATTAGCTTCTCTGTAAATGTGTTTTATCCTTACATTCAAACTACCCATGATAACCAAAATTAGATCCAAAAGCCCCTTATATCTCCATGGAACCCCAACATTCCCCAACACCATCTCAACCAACACTTTTGAATCAGATTCATTGAGAATCTACTTCATTTTTAAGCCATACTGCACCACCAGTTTCAAACCATCCAACAGAGCTCTACATATTTGTGTGTGTGTTAGTGCGAAGATCCTAAGATGCAGCAGCCAAAATGACATGGCCTGCATGATCTCTTAGAACCATTCCCCCACTTGATAAGCCACTCAAAGTATATTTGGGTCAAATGGGAGCCATGTCATTTTTAACGGAACCACTTACTTAACAATTCAATTAACTTTAAATACAAGCCACAGGAAAGTAAACATGACTTCACAAAGTACCTTGGACTTGAGAATCTCATGTTCATTCTCTATTGCATCTGAAGAAACAAGGTCCTTTGACAGAAATAAAGGTTTTGCTGCTACAACATGCATTGCCAATTCTGATCCAACACGCTGGAGGGCATCCAATGAAGCATTCCGATCTTCTACCTCAAGGGATAGAAAAACAACAATACTTCCCACACTTGAAATGACAAAAACACAACTAAGAGGCATTTGCTGATTCAAGATGCTAAATTAAGAACGTGTTCCAAATGTATTAAATAAAACGTTTCCAAGAAACACACATGTATAAATAGATGCACATATATATGCATGTCTGAGAGAATATGTTGCATGCTCTAATATACTTTGATATCACAACAAAGTTAGACTATATCTTGAGATCAATTAATAAATCTACACTATACAGACTGTATATCAGGCATCTTCTTTTGAACATCATCATAAGTAGCACGACCAACTTTATGATGACAAAGTCCACAACAGAACAATGCACAGCTATGACATCTAGCTCTACATAAAAATCAAGTAGTGAAAGTTTCCAAGAAACAGAAAATAGCAGAGCCCATATGTTATTTGGATTGATCAACCATTTTTTGATCATTAACAAATTACTCTTGACGAGACTCAATCAAATGCCAACTCACCTTCTCATTCAAAAATTTTCCTTTGGTAGACGTAACTTCAAGTTTTCCATTGTGCTCAATCAATTGTTTTTCCCAAGGTTCTAGTTTAGCACGAACCTTTGCTAGCTCACCACGGAACATCTCAGTTTCAACTGTTTCTCAACCGAATAAAATAAAGGGACAACATTAATTCTCCTCAGAGAGCAAACATATTTATCACACCCCTAATCCAGAAGCATGTGAAATGAAATTCATAGCAGCTTTGATACTTGTATCTTAATTGTTTACACTGAAGAAAATACCTTTGGAGTTCTCCTTAAGAAAGAGTTTTTGCAATTTGGGAATGTCTTCCTCCAATTGGGGTATGAGATTTGTTGACTCCTCGCAGCCCTTTCGAATCTCAGTAATCTTTATTGAATCCTACAGTGGAACCCAAGGTAAGATACATGCATTAGTTTCAATACAAGTGGAGACCAATTGTTCCCATACCTTGTCAACTTTCTCATCGAGTTTCTTGATCTTTTGCTTCATGTGATTTAAATCTTCACAGTATTTAACATCCTATCTTTCATACTCCTTGAATTCATCCTTGCAACGCCTAAGTTCGCTATCAAGTTCCTAGATTTGAAAACAAAAGTAAAGAAATATGTTTCACTATTGAGTTTGATCTTGAGCCAACTAGCATTAGCATGTACGAAAAGGATTCTAAGACAAGGCATGCATATTTTAAAACCAAAAATTTAATCTTACAAAAATTTATTGCAGCCAGCTTATTGGACAACAATACATCCAATATAGCACTCAACGAATACCTGAAAAACAAGAAAGTTTGCCATCTACAAAATAACCATGAAAGATTATCCTAGCAAAGGCCAATAAACCTATAAACCCCACACTTTTATCTTTATATATGTATATAGGTATATATAGCAAGTAATTATTACTTTTGAAATGTTAATATGGTAAAATTCGAGAAAATAGTAGTTTAAACTTAGTTTTAGCTTGTAAATATATGAAATTATTATAATAGAACTTGTACCAACTAGGTTTGATGTACAAAAGTATGTTGTAAAATTTTGGGTTAGAGTTGGAAGGGTTTGGAATGGATTAGAAATGAAAAATAGAGGAAATAGGCAGAATCTGGGGATTTTCGACAAAGCGTACCGGTACGTGTATCGGTACGTCGAACTCCAGAAGCCTCAGCATACCGGTACGCGTACCGGTACACTCTGTAAATTCCAGAAATTTTTAAGTCGTGAACAACCGGCCTTCCTTCCACTATAAATACTTAAGGACACCTCCTTTAGCTCCATTTCAACATTTCTAACCCTAGAAAACCTTAGAGAGGAAGAAAGAGAGGGAAAAATACAAGATCAAAGGGGATTTGCACATTGGATTGGATCAAAGTCCTAATTTTTTTCAAGAACACCAAGGTAGGGGTTCCTTCCATTCTTGACCATTGAGGCTAGGACTTATATGTATATGTATGTTTTCACTCTCATTTAGATATATATTCTATGAAATCACCCTTTCTTGTTATTTTTGCAAAGATTAATGTGTTAAACAAAGCTAGGGTTAGATAACCATGAAAACTCTTTTTCTTGACTTAAAACTCTAGCTTCCAAGAGAAAGGGATTTTTCTCTCGATTTTTTCCTTATTCTTGATTTCAAAACCTTAGTGCTTTGTAATGAACAATAAAAATGGGTTGTTGATGATCTCTTGTTTATTTTCTTAAATTGTTACCTTGTAATACAAATTGTGAAATTTGGGGATTTTGGATTTCCTTGTAATTTTGAGAAAATATTTGTTATTGCATCTTTTATATGGTTGTTGTGATGGACTTGAATTACATTCGAGCACTGTCGTAGAGTGTTAAAGGTTAGTCTATCCTAGTGGGGGTGAGATGGTTTCCTAACACTTGTAGTGGATTGTTGTTTGTGAGAGCAACCACTATTGTTTACATAGGTTCGAGGCTGAAGGATGGTATACCTTTCTTGGGAAGGATTCGTCAATGCCATGAGAGACGGTATATGTCCTTCCTAAAGTATTTGGGATTGTGTGATTGTGGTGGGTGAACGAGGTAGATTTATGGTGTAGATTCATGGGAAGCAACCAATATACACGAGAATATGGGNTGTCCTTCCTAAAGTATTTGGGATTGTGTGATTGTGGTGGGTGAACGAGGTAGATTCATGGGAAGCAACCAATATACACGAGAATATGGGATGATGCTATTGAATGATGTTTTGATTTCTATCACTCCGATATGTTTATTCCTTTCATTTAAATTATTGCGATTGCGTACACTTGAGATTAAGTAAATCGTCATTGTTTTATTTCAAAGTTATAAATGCTATTTTGAAAAGTGAGACCAAGCTATTTTATATGTTTTTTAAACCTTGTTCAAGATTGGGAGAATAAAGCTACAGAGCTTAGTGCTCACTCCTTACAAATTATATTTTTCAGAATGTGGTCTAGAGGAGGAGCTCAGAGATGAGGAGCCGATACATAGGGAAGCTCCACTAGATAGACTCGTGGATCCCGATGTGGATGTCTAGGGTTATACTCTCCTAGGTGCTAGACTAAGAAATTTCTTTTGAGATTATGTAAAGACTAATCTTTAGTTATTCCGATGCGAGTTTAAATGTGATTCTTTTGGGATGTAATTGTCATAGTCGATCATATTCTTTTGGGATATAATCATCGTGTTTTGGCGTATTGTTTTGGGAATGATGTTGTAAATATTACATTTGATGAATGAAATTTCTTTATTGATGAATTTTATTAGTCGCTCTCACGATGTGAATGAATTTAAATTATAATGTCGTCCAAGGTGGATTTTGGGGTGTTACAAAACCAACTGTCTAGTCATGCGATACAAAATAACCAAAACCAAATCAACAGCTCCACCCAAAAAATTCCTCTAGACCAGTCTAAAGCAGCAACCAACTAAGCAAAGCACTTTCAAAACCCAAACTAACAGCCTGCCAATGTACCATATTTCAAACAAATCAACAGTTACACCATATAGCCAAATAATTAACCCTTATTATAAAAAACCACTTAAAAGGCAAACCCCTCAAATCACATATTAAAACAACAATCACACATCAAAACAAGATGGAATCATAAAATATTTAAATACAAAAACCAAAAGATAATTCGTCAGCCACTTTAATGCAGAAGTTCAGAATTCATTTGTTAAAAAAAGAAAAAAAATACATTAATAAATTATCAATCAAATTTTTCAAAAACATACAGGTTTTCTAATTTTTAAGTGTTGAAATGTTTAGTTTTTTTCTTAAACTCTCAACCCGTCCCGAAATGAGACGTCTTTTCATACAAATTAANTACAGGTTTTCTAATTTTTAAGTGTTGAAATGTTTAGTTTTTTTCTTAAACTCTCAACCCGTCCCGAAATGAGACGTCTTTTCATACAAATTAATATATCCAAATAGTTCTTCTTTGTCCGTTTTCAAGGTGAACATAGTTGAAACGGGCCGATTGACACCCTTAACTCCAAGTTTTAGGTTTTCTAATTCTTAAGTATTTAATTTTTTAGTTTTTTGTGAAACTCTCAACTCGGATTCCAGAATGAGAAACCGTCTTTTCCTACAAGTTTCTATACCCAAATGGTTGCTCTCCATTCACTTTCACGGCAAATGGAGTGGAAACGAGCTGATTGGCCCACTTAGCTCCAAGTTTTAATTTTTATACTTCTTAAGTGTTGAACTTAAAACGATAGTAAAAAGATACTAACTAAGACTCAAGTGACATGTCTGCATTAGTTGAGTTGTCCTGCAGAGCTCGTTGCATTTGAACTTGCATCTGCACAAGTTGTTACATCATTTTCTGCTGCGCGTCTTCAAACTTCTCTAGCTTCTCTTTCGTTTCATCACATTCCTTCTGAAGAGAATCAATAGTTGCTTGCAACTCGTTTATCATATCAACTTNCGCGTCTTCAAACTTCTCTAGCTTCTCTTTCGTTTCATCACATTCCTTCTGAAGAGAATCAATAGTTGCTTGCAACTCGTTTATCATATCAACTTGTTCTCGATACTCAGCAGTGGATCTGAATGACTGACTAGAGGATGAAGGCTTCGGGCCATGTCCAAATCCTTTCTTATATCCAAGTCGGTTGCCAAGGACTATNGAGAATCAATAGTTGCTTGCAACTCGTTTATCATATCAACTTGTTCTCGATACTCAGCAGTGGATCTGAATGACTGACTAGAGGATGAAGGCTTCGGGCCATGTCCAAATCCTTTCTTATATCCAAGTCGGCTGCCAAGGACTATGCATGCAATTTCATCCTGTGTCAATGGCTCTACACCCTCTTCTAAGTTCTATGTGGCCAATTCTTTCATCCACTCCTACACTTTAATATATTTAAACCCAATTGTCGAGTGTATCATAAAAGTTTATTTAAAAAAAATATAATTTTTTACAATTTGAAATACTTATATATCTTGATTCTGCCTCCGCAGAAACCCACTCACCCTTCTTATTCACATGAGAATCATGAAAAAAATCAATAATGTGNTCCTACACTTTAATATATTTAAACCCAATTGTCGAGTGTATCATAAAAGTTTATTTTAAAAAAATATAATTTTTTACAATTTGAAATACTTGTATATCTTGATTCTGCCTCCGCAGAAACCCACTCACCCTTCTTATTCACATGAGAATCATGAAAAAAATCAATAATGTGGGGGGTGGCTCATCAGTTGTAGCATCCCTCTGTTATAGTTAATCAAAATATCAATATTCAATTTATGAAGTTCCTATATATTAAAATTTAGGAAGCAAATGTTAAAATATAATACCCTTTCATATAGGGCAGACTGAAAGGACTTTGAACCCATCGAGTGGTTGTATGGCAGTTTGACACGATTTTTTGCATTTTTTTTAGATTTTGCCTATATACAAAGAATATAATTAGTACACAATTGAGAATAAAAAGTGGCTATTAATTTGCATAGCTTATAAAAGTTACCTAAAATTTTGGATTCTTGTAAAGTGTTTCAATTATGTACTCCCAATCCTCCCGACTCACATCACCATCTGGCTTGCTCTTTGGGTCAACACTAGACTCAACCAAATCCTTGTAGTGCATATGCATATAGTATCGATGGTC